GAGAAATCTCCAACCTTGGCTTGTCAGCCTGTCATCACGTCATCAGAGGTGTGATGACAGGGATCACAGCATCCCCCCGGGGCTGCTTTCCTCCTGGCTGCACAGCCCCAGCTCTTGGTAGGAGCATACTGTTACACTGCTTCCTGGAATACTGTTATTTGGCGTTGGCAAATAGAGTCCACCTCACATGCTAGCTGGGATCAGTTGTATGGAGTGCTCTGTTAGAAGGAGGCTGAGGCTTCATCCAGGCTCTTCAGGAGGGAGTCTGTGATCATTTAGCAATGTGTGCCAGGGAGGAGCGGGTGGAGAATGCAGGTATCCCAGGTCTGCTGTCCCCGCCCTCTGGCTCTGGACCGTCTGCAGCCCTCAGACACTGTCTTCTGCTGTATCTGAGAACTGTGGCGGGCAGCAGGGCTATTTTTACTCCTGGCTTTTTATTCATGTTAGTGACTGGCTTCTCGGCCACATGATGACATCAGCTCACATTCATCTTATAGTCCACGAAAAATCCCCAAGTCTTTTTCATAAGAACAGCCATCAAACGAGATCTTTCTGCCATCTTGACGTTATTTCCACTGTGTGGACCCAGAATTAATTTCAATCATCCCCTTGTCGATGTGCATTTAGGTTATTTCCAGATGTTCATAATCAGAAAAAACACTGCTGTGGTAGTTCTTGTATGTACCGCTGCACACATTGGTCTTATTTCCTTTGCACAAATCTCTGGAAAAGGGCTGGGTGGCAGCCACCTAACTCTCATAGAATGTTCCAGAGACTCTCAACTTCCAGGAATATTCAGGGACTTGGAACAGGTGCCTTGGCCTATTCCTCGGTCTGCATGTGGCGTAGGTGTCTGAGAGAGATCATAAATTCAGGGGTGCAGTTAAGGACTCACCCCAATGTGTTCACCAGTCCTGTCCATTGTGCTGGGCTTGTGGGAGCAGCATCCCCAAGGCAGCTAAAGTGGGTGGTGAGATGTCAGGTAGCTGAGCTCAGGAGGTCAGGGCAGGGATATAGGAGCCACTCTGGCTGTTCCCTGACCCAAAAGTCCCACCTAGGGACTCATGTATGCTGGTAAAGTGTGACCCTCACTTTATGGCCAAGCTCTGTCACTAGGGCATCTGTGTTTCTGCCCTAGAGAGGGAGAGGTTGACATAGGATAGTTCTTCCTGCCCCAGGAAGAAACTGGATCAAGCTGAGTCCTAATCAGGAGGGTGGGGCTGAGAGCCCAGAGCTTCCGGGTGTTGCTGTAGAGCAAAACATCTCTACGAGTTCAGCCAGGAAATAGTCAAGCGCCCACAACATTTAAGTTTGATAACTTCCTATACTGATTTATACTCCTACCAGCAGAGTCTAAGAGTGCCCATGGCTGCATGTATTTGTCAATCTGGGCATTTTCACTTAAATTATCTTTTTGTTTATCAGTTCAGATAAATGCAGAAAAACCTCTTTTTCAGGGTCTAATACTGCACTGTGTAGCTGCTGATTGGGGCCATCAAGAGGTGATGTCCTCTGGCTCAAAGCGGGTTCATAGCTGCATGGAAAATTCCACACTGTGCTCACTTTCGTCCATGCTGGCTGAAGAACCCCGTGGCGCCACACTGGTTGCAGTAGGATGGCCCAGCCGTTTCTTTCTTCTGGGATGGTTTGAAGTTGGGTTTGATTTTTTTGGAGTGTAGAAGGGCTGCCACATTGCACAAGAGGATGCTGTTCATAGACTCGACAGGACCTGGTGACAGATTAATGGGGCTGTTGGGGTGGGGGAGGGACCCTAGCCCCGAGATGGAAGGGAAGGCTGTGGGTGACTGTCAGACCTTCCCTTCCTGGAGAGGATGCCTGTGAGGGAGGCCCGGCTTCTCCCAAGCATGTTCCAGACCTAATGACCCAGGGCAGCCAGGAACACGGGAGTGCCCAGAGTGGAATCCTGGGCTGGCACAGGCCCAGAAAGTCTGCCTCAGGCCACCACTATCACAGTTGTATCCCAAAGATACCCTGCCCTGGGGCCCAAAGACACCCTGTACTACAGATGACAGGCACTCCCATTTGCTCATTCTGAGTTCAGTGGCCACCGCCTGATCTTCTGCCACCCGCTCAGCCTCATACCACCACCAACTGGGAACAAGGGCCCCTCTCAAGTTCTTGGGCAGGCCTGGGCCCTTGCTTACCCCCCACCATCAGGGGAGGATGCCCTACTCTGCCTGCTTACAGCTGTTTTCAGGCCAGGTTAGAAAAAGCTTGGTGGAATTCCTTCAGACTTGCGGTGAACATTGCTTCTTCATCCTGGGTTGGGGGCAGCACAGTGAGGGTCCTGCATGCCTCTCCCTGGCAGAGCCTCCCAGCAGCTCAGCAGCAGCCTGTGGGCCACCAAGGGACTTCCCGCTCCACCTCCAGGGACCTGCAGGGAAGCCACTTATCCATCTTTGTGCTTCTGCGAACCCAGGGTGACGAGACTGTTTTGAGCCCTCCTCGAAGGAGTGGAGGCCCGGGTGCATCTCTCTAAGGACGAGCTGTCGTTTCCTGTCAGTCTGCTGCCTGGAAGCACAGATCCAGTCCAAGGCATGTGTGTGTGACGTGCTCCCAGGCTGTAAAGACGAGGCGAGACGGAGGGAGGTGCACAGGCCCGAAGCAGAGGCATGGGCTCTGGGGTCAGACAGTGTGGGATGGGCTTCCGCGAGGCTGTCACACCCCTGCGACCTGAGGCTCTGGGGCCTGAAGTCTGAGATGGGAACTCATTCGCTGCTTTGTACAGTTGATTAGGGTGGCAAGTATTTATTTCAAGGTGCTGCTCAAAGCTTTAGCAATAGAATGGGAGCATTTTCAGATCTCCCTGTTCTCCCTGTCACCTCTTACCAAGGTACAGACACCAGGCCCAAAGGAAGCTGTTGTGGGCGGGGGCTGCGGGGGAGGGAGTTGGGTGACTCTAGTGATATGGAGACTCTTGAAGGGTGGTGGTTCTCAGACGGTTTGAAGGCATCAAGTCCAATCCACCATGTTATTGATAGGGAAACTGAGGCATTGAAGGGAGGGACAGGCTGCCCTGATTCTCAGTTGGATGAGGGCAGAGCCAGGCAGAGAGCCCTGGGTCCCTCTCTTCATTCAGGCTCTTCCTCAGGCAGAGGCCTGTGTCATGGCCCAGCTCCTGGGGAGTGGGGTGGGCATCCCCTGCCTGAGCCCGGAGGCCAGAGCCAGAAGTCTTGTCCTAATCTGTAGGCTGGAAAGCAGGTGCTGAGATCTACTGCCCAGCCCTGGCTTAGGGCAAAATTGGCAGCAAAGGGCCTCCACTCCCTATCGCCTAAGCTACTGGCCGTGCCCTCTGCTCCAAGCCACCTCCCTGGGACTCCCACTCCGGGCTTCCCTGGAGTCAGTGACAGTCACATGCACTGGGCACTGGGGTCCTGCAGGCTCCCGAGGAGCAGCAGTGACAGAAGCAGGGCAGAGCAGGGCTGGACCCACTGCCCTGGGCTGCTGTGCACAGGGCCTTCCCATTGGTCTGAAGAAGGCACCGGGGTGGAGGGGGGAACCACAGCTGCATAGGGTCTGTGTGCCCATCTCTCTGCTCTGCCCATCTAGTGGGACCTCCACCCCAGCCCCTGGAAGCAGAGGGTCTTTCAATGTCCTTCCAGCCCAAGATTGAGTGGTCTGACGGGGACAGGGCACCTGGCAGGGTAACTGGACATTGTGTTGGAAACTGTGACATAACTCTCTCCCTTCCCTGCTGGTCCCACCCAGAGAAGCCACCTGCAGTGGAAACCAGTGTCTGCACACAGCAAAAAGGGCTTCGAGTTCCTAGTCGGGATGAGCTCATCAGCCCTCCTCGCACGACCCCACCAGGGGCCCCGCTTCCCCATGGTGCTTAGAGATGTCAGAGGGATGGTGTACATGTTGCGGGGACAGAAGGTGGTGAGGCAGAGGGGAACACTGGGTCTCAGGGTCCCACCACTTGGGCTTGAACCCTAACTCACCTACTTCCTACCTGGGTCACCCCGGCACCTCTTGTAGGCCTCAGTCTCCTCACCTGGAAAAGGGGAGTTGATGGTTCCTCTTTGTAGGCTGCTTTTAAGATTTAGAGAAAATGTATATACAGCATTGTATGAGTTTCCAAACTCGCCATGGCAAACACCACACACGGGGGCCTTCAACAGACATTTATTGTCACACATTTCTGGAGGCTGGAAGTCGAGGATCAGGGCGTCAGCAGGGTGGGGTCCCCTGCAGCCCCTCTCCTTCGCCTGTAGGCTGTCGTCTGCTCCCCAGGTCCTCGAGTGCTGCCCCTCTGTGCATGCCTATGGCCTTATCTCTTCTGCCTACAAAGACACCAGTCTGGCTGGATCAGGCCACCCCAGTGACTCTATTTTAACATAATCACCTCCACAAAGACCCTGTTTCCAAACAGTCCTGTGCTGAGGTGCTAGGGGCCAGGGCTTCAATACATGAGTATGGGGGGCACAGTTTACCCACAGCAAACACCAGCACAAGGACTGGCCCCACATAGGCCTACAGTACAGAATCGCTTTTGTTAAGTATTGTTTTTTTTTTTTTTTTTTTTAAGTTTAAAATCAGTGGTGTGTTTAATGCAGGTGTTAGGAGAGAAGAAGGTGATGGGATTTGCTGAGTCAGTAATTGCTGAGCACTTGCTGTGTGCCAGACACTGCCCTGGGCTCTGGGGATGATCAATGACCCAGTGACCAAAACTGCCATCCTCAGGGAGCTGGCGTTCATTTGTCTGTGGGTGATGGATGGTAAGCAAAATCAGTGAGGAAGGTGTATGGGATGTCAGAGGGTGGTGCGCTTCACAGAGAAACTGGACCGGAGTGGGTGGGGTGCTGAGTAGCAGGGCTTTGCAGGGTCCTGCTGGCTGCACGCGTGGACTCAACCACGGGGTGTGAGAAGAACGGGCATGGGGGCTCCTTTAGGAGCATGGTGGAGTTGTGCCCCACGGCCTGGTATCATGTTGAGGTTTCCTGCTCACCAGAAGCTTCTCGCCTCTCTGTCCTCTACAGTGTTGAAGGTGAGGCCCCCAGCAGTGAGACTGGCACGTCCCTGGACAGCCCCTCGGCCTACCCCCAGGGCCCCTTGGTGCCTGGTTCCAGCCTGAGCCCGGATCACTACGAGCACACCTCGGTGGGAGCCTATGGGCTGTACTCGGGGCCGCCGGGGCAGCAGCAGCGCACGCGGAGGCCCAAGCTGCAGCACTCGACCTCCATCCTGCGCAAGCAGGCCGAGGAGGAGGCCATCAAGCGCTCACGCTCACTCTCCGAGAGCTATGAGCTCTCCTCAGACCTGCAGGACAAGCAGGTAGGCAAGCACAGCCCTTCAGGCCACACACATGCAAGCGCAGGGCAGCTCTGCCCACCAGGTGTGCCCCCACCAGGCATGGTGGCAGCTGTCTCCCATGGACTCGAATTGGAGTGCATGTGGGCTAAGGCTGAGGACTCTGCCCCAGTTCCAGCTCCGCCTGTGGCTCCTCTCAGGAGTCTCTTGCCCTAGCTGGCTCCAGCTGGCATGTGTGAAGGACCGGATTGTCCAGCATTCCTTCTGGGGACTTCCAGAGAGTCGTCCTTACATGAGGCCTTTGCCATGGCCCGGGTTCCACGTCCTGCATGGTCCAGATCTGGGGGGCCATGATAGGTGTCTGGGCATCAGGCCCAGTGTCATCAGGACACACTAGGTACGTGGCCGACCACTGAGGTTCTAAGGACCCAGGAGAGGGCTGAGGGAGGGAGGTCCATTTACAGCATAAGTAGCACAAGCTCTGGACAGAAGACCATCTACAGCCAGCCAGGTGAGGCTGCTTGTTCTTCCCCTCCCGGCTCACACCTCCCTGCTCCTGCGGGAATACCCCCACTGAAAACTACACTCGTCCCCCAGGGGTCTTGGCCCTTAGAGGTGGCCAGACCCACAGTGCTCCTGGTGGGCTGGGCTTGAGGGAGGCCGAGAAGCAGCCTCTGGGGTTGAGCCAGGAGAGGAGAATCATAGGGTGCAGGGGAAGAGCGAGGACCTGAATGGTCCCTGGGGAGGCCAAGGGCTCTCGCTTCCAAGTCCCTCTGAGTGCATGCACACAGTAGGCGTTTTAATAAGGATCTGAGTGAATGAAGAGATGGGTGAGTGAGGGAGTGAGTAAGCCAGTGCGTGGACAAGACCCTTAGCAGTTTCTGGCTTCAGAAGAACCTAGGCTCCCAGGCAGCAGCTCTGCAAGCTTGCAGGGGCAGGCTGGGGAGGGCTGCCAGACTCTCCCCAGCTCCTGGGCATGTGCTCTGGACAGCTTCTTTATATGTCCAGGTGGCCGCCTCTGCCCCTGCTGGCCCTAGGGCCCTTTCCCATCTTCCCCAGAGTCTGTGCTGCAGAACCTGCCTGGCCTTCACTCCCACCACACCCATCCTGTGGCACCACCTGCCCTGTGCTTGCTCCCAGATCTTCCTAGTTATCCTTTTTCTTTAAAATCAATTTTTGGGTTTCTTTTTTGTTTGTGTTTGCTGGGAGTATAGATTCAAGTTGTCCTGAATATGTCCTCCCCTGTTTGTCCTTTAAGGAGTAGAGTTCTGGGCCTGGTGTGGCCCCAACTTCCCAAGGGAGTGGTGCAGATACTGCCTGGGGGGGGGTGGTCATCCACTCTCCTGACAGGGAATCCCCCATCCGCCCCCTCCTTAGCTGGCTGTCGGTGCTGCCTTGCAACTTAGGCCAGGCTAACCCAGGGCAGAGCAGCCTCTGTTCCCTTTATCCATGATGCCCAGATCCAAAGTGGACCACAGTTTATAGTAAGAGATGTCTGCAGCAGAGCCATTTAAACAGAAAGGAGAAAGGTTGGGACTTAATAGAGGCCTGTGAAGAGAATTATATGCTTACTGTGGGCCTAATAGGACTGCAGCTGTTCATTTTCATTTCATGCATATCATCTGAACGCCCACCATGCACCAGACACTGTGCGGGGTGCCCATGACTGAGACGAGGCCCCTGCTCTTCTGCTCCACTGTGGCACCAGAGCCGGACAAGATCAAGTAAGCTGTGCAGAGGCAGCCGACTTCCAGAAAGTGATGCAAACTGGGGATTCTAAAGATTGGGGAAAGAAATAGGGCAGCTGTGTGAGGTAACAGCACTGGGTAAGGCTGGTTGGGATGCCCTGTCTAAGGTGGCATTAGAGCTGGCTGTTCCAGGAAGAGACAACAGCTGGTGCAAAGGCTGCTGAGTGTGTGAGATGGAAGGGAAGGCCTGGAAGAGGTACCAAAGAGGTGAGAGGGAGGAGGCAACATCAAGGGCCACTGAGGATTCGATGCCCCACTGAGCTTCCTGGCAAGCTCAGCAAAAGTGGGAATGGGACACATTGCATGGGAATCACCAGATGAAAAAGTAGGGTGCCTGATTCCATGAGGAGTTTTAAGTCTGGGTAACGCGGAGGCCGTTTTAGGTGAAAGGAGCCCAAGGACAAGTCTCCTGTGTTCTTCTGGCCCCAGGCCCACTGTGTTCTCCAGTGGCCTTCTGTCTCTGAAGCAGGAGACTTGAGTGGGTGTCAGATACTGTCCCTGTGTCGTCAAGAAGTGACAGTTTTGCTTTGCTGAAGGGCATTCTTCCCGGTTTCTCTTCTGTACTGCTCAGAAGTTTCCGTTGAAGGGACAAGTGAGGGCCTGCTGGGGGAGCCCCGGCCATGGGGTCGATTCTTCTATCCAGGAACCACGTGTCTTGGGTCAGCGGCTTCCCTCCCCTGAGCATCTCATCCTTGCCGAGAAGTAGGGTAGTGAAAACTCTCAGAGGAGCAGAAGCTGCTGTGAGATGGGATGAAGGCGTGGGGGTCCCTAGCACAGTCAGTAGATAGGTACATGTTAGCGGAATCTCCTCCACTGGGTCCCAGGAAACTTTTCGACCAGGCCTGGCAATAATTCCAGCCCAGGAAGAGGAATGACCCACAGTGAGTTTGGGGACGAGGAAGAGCAGCCCTAGGTCCCTGTGTGTCCCCTTGGGGGAGAGACTGCTAGGGGCTCTGAAGTCCCTTCACCCCCGACACACACAGGTTTGGGCAGGAGGTCTCAGGAAAACAGGGTGGCTGGCCGGTCTGCAAGGTCCGGAGCCAGCAGGCGAAAAGGCCCTGTGGGGAGCTCTAGGCCTGAGCTGGGGCTCCCAGTGCTTGTGCCGCCCACAAAGTAGAGGGAGGGAAGAAAGACTTCCCAGATCTCAGCCCCGGGCTTCTTATCGGCCCCAGGGGCTTTCTGAGCTCCACTCACAACCCAAAAAATAGAAACTTTCTGCTTACAGATGTGGAAGTGAGGTCATTTCTTGGATGGAGTTCAGTAACAGGGCAAGAGGGAAAACAGACTCTGGCCTGGCTAGGCTTGGAAAAGTAATTTTGATTTGCTCCCCTCAAGTCCCCCTGGCTCTTCTCCTTCACCCAGCCTGCTGGGACCACCCAGGGCTAGGCGGCGCACGTGGGCGTGCAAGGCCCCGCGGCGGCCCTGAGCCAGTCTTCCCGGTGCAGGCCACAGCCTTCGATTTGCTGGATGTCTGTTGGGCATTGTTTCAGTCCTGCGCCTGCAGCTGCTGCTCTCCTTCACAGATCCCTCACTCCTCCAAAGCAAGGACCTTCGTGTCTCCCTTTCCACCTCCAGGTGTGGCCCAGCATGTGGTGGGCATCTGGGACCGGACAGGCAGGGTGCAGCGCTTTGCCTGCTCCCAGCCCCACATCACATGCCCACTCCACCCCAGCACCCCAAGAGGCCTGGCTTGGTGGAGAAGCCAATTCCTTATCTTGGCTGCAGGGGTGAGTTCATTGTCCACTCAGGAACAAGGCACAGGGAGTGGCCCTCAGGGCCACCCTTGGTCACGGGTGCCTCAGGAATTCAGGAGGTCTGCATGCCTCACTGCAGTGCATGGGGCTCACCCTGCCCCTTCCCTGCGTGTAGCCCAGCCCTAGCAGAAACGAGCCGTGCAGCCCAGATGAGCTAGGAATGGCGGTGCTCAAAAGGGAGAGCCAGCTCCGGAGACTGGAGGCCTCTTGAGTATGTGTTGAGTCTCTTCTGTGGGCCAGAATTTGCCTATCTGTAGAGCAAGGGAGCTTGGGGGCTTTACAAACTGTAAATCCCTTCCCAGAATGCAGCTGGGGGTCTTCCAGCCCAGCTGCACCGGTGCTTGGCATGTGCCAGCTCTTGGCCTCTGTCTCCAGGACTCACCACAGTCAGAGGAGGCAGGCCCCAGTGCCACCCCATTTAATAGACAAGGAAATCGAGGAACTGCACAGGCTCAGGGCTTACTCTGGGGCACCCAGCTGCCAAGGGGCATAGCCCGGATTAGAACCCACACATCTGGCCTCGAAGCCTGCTCCTCAGTGCAGCAAACCCCACAGGTGTTTCTCTACCCAGTTTGACCTCGGGACTCATATTTTGCATAAGCCCACAAGCATCCCTCAGCAGTTGCTTTGACCAACTTTGGGACTTTCCCATGTCGCACAGCCACGTGGCTGGGAAGTGAGAAGGACTTTGGTAGAAGTGGCACGGCGCCCACGTGCAGGGCTGTCCTCATTCTCCTCTCCCACCCCCAGGTGGAGATGCTAGAACGAAAGTATGGGGGGCGCCTGGTAACCCGCCATGCGGCCCGCACCATCCAGACGGCGTTCCGTCAGTACCAGATGAACAAGAACTTCGAGCGTCTGCGCAGCTCCATGTCAGAGAACCGCATGTCACGCCGGATCGTGCTGTCCAACATGAGGATGCAGTTCTCCTTTGAGGGGCCTGAGAAGGTGCACAGCTCCTACTTCGAGGGGAAGCAGGTCTCAGTGACTAACGATGGCTCCCAGCTGGGAGCCCTGGTGCCCCCTGAGTGTGGTGACCTCAGCGAACCGGCCACCCTCAAGTCTCCGGCCCCCTCCAGCGACTTCGCGGATGCCATCACCGAGCTGGAGGATGCCTTCTCCCGGCAGGTGAAATCACTGGCCGAGTCCATTGACGATGCCCTCAACTGCCGCAGCCTGCACACTGAGGACACGCCAGCCCTGGATGCGGCACGGGCCCGAGACGCCGAGCCCCAGACGGCCCTTCACAGCATGGACCACCGCAAACTGGACGAGATGACGGCCTCGTACAGCGACGTCACCCTGTACATCGACGAGGAGGAGCTGTCGCCCCCTCTGCCCCTCTCGCAGGCGGGGGACCGGCCGTCCAGCACTGAGTCGGACCTGCGGCTTCGGGCTGGGGGCACCGCCCCGGACTACTGGGCCCTGGCCCACAAGGAGGACAAGGCCGACACGGACACGAGCTGCCGGAGCACGCCGTCGCTGGAGCGGCAGGAGCAGCGGCTGCGGGTGGAGCATCTCCCGCTGCTCACCATCGAGCCACCCAGCGACAGCTCTGTGGACCTCAGTGACCGCTCGGAGCGGGGCTCGCTCAAGAGGCAGAGTGCCTACGAGCGCAGCCTCGGCGGGCAGCAGGGCAGCCCCAAGCATGGTCCCCACAGCGGCCCCCCCAAGAGCCTCCCCCGGGAGGAGCCTGAGTTGCGGCCCCGGCCCCCCAGGCCCCTGGATAGCCACTTGGCCATCAATGGCTCAGCCAACCGGCAGAGCAAGTCTGAGTCAGACTACTCAGACGGCGACAACGACAGCATCAACAGCACATCCAACTCCAACGACACCATCAACTGCAGCTCTGAGTCGTCGTCCCGAGACAGCCTGCGGGAGCAGACGCTCAGCAAGCAGACCTACCACAAGGAGGCCCGCAACAGCTGGGACTCGCCCGCCTTCAGCAACGACGTCATCCGCAAGAGGCACTACCGAATCGGCCTGAACCTCTTCAACAAGTGAGTACCACGGTGGCCCTGCAGAGTGGGCGGCAGTGTCTTGCTGGGCCTTGGCAGGTGGGCGTGCTTGATCCTTTCAGGTGCGGAGCTGGAGGTCCAGCCTGGGCCCGTGAGGGTAGGAAGCTGCCACGCAAGGTCAGTGGCTAGGAGGGTGCCAGCCTGTGTGCTGAGGCCCAGCCCTTCGTGGGGCTGCTGTTGGGGAAGGCAACACACACACAGGCTGAGCAGGGGCAGAATGAGGGCTTTCTGTGCTGAAGCAACTTGAGTCCCAGGCCTTTCTGCCCCGTCACCCCCGAGTCCACCACAGCGAGTGGGGTCTATTGGGCCATGCCCTACCCAGCTTTGAATGTCAGGCCTAGGGGTGATGTGGGACACAAAGGCCTTTGAGCAGGGGTGTGACCAATTGTGTCGTTGAGGGGCAGGGGAAGACAGGCCAGACCCAGGGCCGTGTCATGTGGGGAACACAGGGATAGACACAGGCCAGACCTTGGCCATGTATGGGGGTAGGAGTGCTCAGGGGCAGTTGCTGGCCGGACCCAGAACTGTGTCCTGTAGGGAGGGAACTCAGACAGATGCAGGCCAGTCCCAGGGCTGTGTCTGGGGGTCTTGGGGAGCTGCATGAGTTGGGTTCATGGAGTCACTGCTCCCCGAGGGGGTCCTGGAAAAGTGCCATCGGCCATCCTGAAAGCAGAGCCAAGGAGCGATGGGTATTTAAAGCAGACTATTCTTAGCACAGCCAAAAATAGCAAGAGGAAGGGAAGGAGGGCTGAGCACTTGGCCTGGGGGATGTGCAGGCTCCTGTCCAACCTGGGATTTCTTGTTATTTCCACTGCCTGGGCCACTGGGATTTGGCCTCATCAGATGCTGGCCTGGCACCAACTCCCCTGGGCTGGTGGTTCCTGACACACATCCTGGGAGCCAGGGGCAGATGACAGTTTTCCCAGAAGGTCAAAGTAGGGTGGTGAATGGTGCAGTGCAGTGGGGCCTGGCCACCTCGAAGCCAGCGCCTGAGCTGGCTCCATGTTCTGTCTGCCCCCTGTTCTCTCTTCTCCTAGACTGGGGGAGATGGTGCTTTTGCACCATTCTTGGGACACATAGAAGCACTATCTTGGGGTGTCAGAGAGGCCTGTCTCAGGAAGAGCCTCTGAGGAACGGTACATTCACTTGGGGCCAGCCAGGGACTGTGGCTTACTGGTTTGCTCAGCTAAGAACTAAGAGTCTTAGACATCTCACATCTACCAGGATGCTCTCTCCTGAGCCGCCAGTCTGCCTGTGGCTTGCCGTAGAGTACAGCTGCTCTCACTGCTGCACAGGCCACAGCTGGAGCAATGCGCCGGACGGGGGAGGGTCGCATCCTACTGGCCCACCTGACATGGCCCCTGAAGTCTGTGCCCTGAGCAGTCCCCACTGCTCCTGGGCACAGCCCAGCCCTAGGATCATCTCTCGACCCAGGCCCATGCCCCCTAGAGGGGAGGCTGGGGTCCCTGCAGAGTAGATAGGTGGAGGCCAGCAGTGGGGATACAGGCCAGGAAAAATCCACCTCCCTCAACCAGCCAGCTTTGGTCTGTGTAGATTCTTTCTTATTCAGTTAACTTTTAGTGCTCTGTGTAGCAGGTGAATGCATTCTTTGCGGAAGATGCAAGCCTTGCGGCTCAGGATAACATCCTCTTGGACTCAGCATGTTGCGTTGCAGTCTTTCTTTCCAGATTTTTTTTCCTCTGCATTTGTGTGCACTCCTGGGAACTCCAGACAGCCATGGTTGAGAACACAGCTTTGGGGCCTGGCTGCCTGGCTTTAAATCGTAGCTGTCCCCTGTCCTATCTCTATGTCCTTGGTCAGCATAACCCCTGTCCCACAGTGGCCGCATCTGTGAAATGGGCTGATGCCGGGGGCATCTTCCCCACCCCAGGGCGGTGAGGGTGAAGCATTGGTCTGTGTGAAATGCTGAGAGCAGGACGTGGCACAGGGTAGGGCCTCGCTATGTATTAGCTGCTACTGTTGGATCCTTGCTGGCATCATTTGGGGCCCGGGACTGTGATGCTGTCTTACAGGGGTATCATGAGCTCTGCATATAGGCTGCCTTGCTCCTGTTCACTGCTGTGTGGTAGTCCCCGCCGTGGCTAGGCCAGTTGCTTCCAGCTTTTCACAACTAGCACTGGTGTGACAGTAACTGTGATCCTCATACACACGCCCAGCAGGCCCCTAGATCAGATGGCTGCAAGTGGAGTTGCCAGGTCTTAGCTGGGCAGATTTTTAGTTGAAGTAGGAACTGCTCTTTCCCTTCCCTTTCTCTGGCCCTGCACCCGTGCGCCACCTCCACTTCTCTCCCTGCGGGTGGTGTGTCCCAGCCTTTGCCCAGCCCCCAGCACAGCTCTCAGTTCCCAGCAATGAAGCAGTAGACGTTCCTGGTGCAGGCCTCTGTCTGGAGGGACACCCCGTTTAAGGGAATCACATATTAAAGTGGGAGAGCCAGCAATAAGCGGGGAGGAAGAACAGAAATGAAGCCTGAGAAACTGGTGCGAGTTGGCGGGGAGGGCATCCCAGTGGCTGCCGAGGGGCAGCTGAGGTCTACCAGGCGTCCAGATGTTCCTCCGGGCATCTGCTGCTCACTCCCACCTGGCTGGTGGTCCTGCGGGAGGGCGGAAGTGGGGGAGCCAGAGGCAAGAGGGTTTCAGCCCTGGCTCTGCTACCTCTCAGTTGCGGGACCTGGGGCAACTCCCTGAACTCTGAGCCTCACTGCCTGCACCTGGAAAATGTGCAGTGGATGGCAGCTGTCGTGGTCAGCCAGGGCTTCTGTGCCCGGAGTGAGTGCCACGGGAAGGGAGCTTCCAGCGCTGGGCTTTGGGAAGACCCAACAGGCGTTGTGATGGGCCAAGCAGTCAGAAATATCAAAAATGGCTAATCCTTCCATGTGCTGACAGTGTGCCAGGCACGGTTCCCAGGGCCTGTCATGCACTAACGCATGCTCCCCTGGGCAGTGGGTGAGCTGAGGCTCACACAGTTGGTAGGTGACTACGGATGTCACACCCTGGCCACCTGGTTCCTGAACGCATCCTCTTAATATCCATGGTGTAGGGAGTGCCACCACAGGTATAGCCCTGGGCTCCCACCTCCCCACTGGGTGACAAATCTGTACACTGGGTCCAGGAGGCAGAGCCACACCACTTGTGGGAGGCCACGCAGCCCTGAAGCACTGGTCCTGGGGCCACTGCAGCACGTGGAGCTGGGGCAGGTGCCCAGCAGAGACCTCACTGAGTCTGTCACCTTCGGATTGGAACCCCACCCCAGCGTCTTCTGCTCCTGTACCTGGTACACGCCCTCCAGGGTACATGCCTGGCTGTGTCCACTCCCTCTCTGTCACATTCCTCCCTGGCATGGGCCCAGGTGACCTTGTCACAGGTGGGCCACACCAGACCTTTCCCACCTCTGCAAGAGTGTCCTTGGCCTCAGAGCTGCTTCATGATGACACAGGCACTCTCAAAAGGAAGTGAGATGCTCGTCTGAGGAACATGTTTGCAGGGCCTGGGTGGCTACCTGGCGTGACAGTGTGGTTGGACTGCTTGCTAGGAGCTTTTCACTGGGGCCCCTGAGGCCCTTCCAGCACAGGGCCCTGCACCTGGAGGCAGCCCCTTTCTGTGGACCTGGCCTCCCCTGCACTCGGCACCCAGCCCCTGGGGCCCACCCATCAGCCTCAGGTCCCATCTACCTATTGGAGCTACCACAGGAGGGAGGCAGGGGACACTGTCACTGGGAGCCTGCAGGGAAAATGGCTGTTTCACCCTTCCAGCGCCCCTGGAAGCCATTCCCCTCCACCTGTGGGAACAGGGCTCAGAGGGTGCCCCTGATCTATGCACCCCAGCTCTGTGCTCCTTGTGTTTAATGTGTCTGTTGTCATTGATAAAGATAGCAGCAAGCAGAGCCTGTACCAAGTGCTGGCCCCGTGCTGAACACCTTCCGCCCATTGTCGCACTGAATCTTCACAGCAATCCTGGGAAACAGGTGCTGGCAGCCAGGCTGAGAGCCCAGGCCCCATACCAGAAGTGCTGGCCCCAGAGCATATGTGGTGCTGCTCCCACAGCCTTCGGTGCTGACGGCGTAAAGGACAGGCTCTCTTAGGAGCACTTTGAGCTGGGTCTTTGGAGGTTGGGACTCTGCTCCCCTAGACGTGGGCCACTGTGAGCTGTGGCCCTTGATGCCACCTGTAACCCAGGATCCCGAGCCCTACGCTGGGTCTGAGGTGGCTGGTGCTGAGCCTCGGAGAGGAAGACAGCACCAAGGGAGGCCCTGAGGGGGTGCTTGCAACACTTCAGAGGGTAATTCTCCTGCCTGCTCTCTGGGATCGATACTGGGGAAGCCACTTGGGTTCACGCTACCAGAAAGTGCCGTGTAAAAGTTAGAGCTTGATGGAGCAGGCAGCCTCAGGAGGTGGCGAGCTTGCTGGCCCTGACAGTATGGGAAAGGCTGGAAGTGGCACCTCTCTGCAAGACCTCAGGGGGACTTGAGTTTGGGTTGCTGGATTGGAAGGGCATTTCCAGGTGTGCAGGGACTCTCTAAATGCTGAATTTGGTGACTTTATCCTCACCCCAGATGAGGCTCAGACCTCTGGCCATGGAGATCCTCGAGCAATCCACACCCAGCGTTGGTCTCTGAGTTAATCATGGACTTCTCTGTTGCATATGACAGGAACTCAGTCAAACTGGGTTAAACAAAGAGGCTTTACTGGTTCATGGACCTGAGAAGTCCTGGGTATTTCTTGGCTCCATCTGCCTCAGGGTTGGCCCTGCCCCCATGCCAGATCCTCCTTAACCCAGGGCAGGAGGGCCATCAGAAGACCCCAAGCCTGTAGTCCAACCTCAAGGGAACCCCAGTAGACAGAAGAGAGAGTCTCCTCCCCTCATCGGCTCCTCATGGCTCTCGTGCCTCTCCCTGAACCACTTCCTTGGGCAAGCAGAATGCAGGGCTCTGACTGGCCTGGAATAGAGAGTAGAATCTGCCCACCG